AAGAGGAAGAGCAAAGTTAAGAAATTGATCGCATTTTCTTTGATTAACTTCATGATAACGAATCGAACGAGAGGAATATTATAAACTTTTTCAGTAAAGTCACAATTTCAATTTATTTATGAAGGTATCACCGTTTATTCTTCTAATAATCTTAAAAAGCAAAGAGTTAAATTATTTCAATTATAAAGTTATTATGATTACATGTGAATAAAAAAAAAAAAATACTTACAAAAAAGAAAGCCTCTATTTTTTGTAATAAATTTTTTTAGATAATTATTAAGAAACAAGGGATTATTTATAACAATTTTTTATAACGTTTTGATCTTTTATTTCAATAATTTTGAATAAAAACAAATAAAGTTAAACAATGTAAATCAAATAAAAGGATTACCAAAAAGAGGATTAGTGAAGCAACATTAAGAAATAGAAGAAGTAAACCAATTTTTTAAAAAAGTATCAGTAAATAAATTTTTTTATTGATCGATTACTGCACTAATTTTGTGATTAACTGCGGTGATTCATGAGAATCTGGAATTTCTTTTTTTTTTCTTTCACATTTACGCGGCTGTTTAATCCGTACTTTGTAGAAAATAACAACTTCATAATTAATTTATTAAGCATTGCAAAAGCGAGTCGAATTTAAAAAATACGAAAATCAAAATCCGTTACTTTTCGGCACCAACCAAAATTACAATTCTTATTAATAATGTAATGTATTCAGTGTCACGTTAAATGAATTTGCAATAACATACCGAAGATCTCTATATGAATTTCTGTGTAACGACTATTTGAAAATTATCACATTTTATAACGAATTTCATAATATTAAGTATGCCCATAGAGAATTTCGTACTGTATTAAAAAGGATTGGATTTCATTTTAATAAATTTCTTGTTTATCTTAAATCACCAAAAGTTTTTTGTAAAATATTTTTTCATTAAATAAGTCATATATTAATAATATTCATAATTAAAAAGGCTTATCTCTAAATACTTTAATAATAATCCTATCGCTAATTTTGTTATTTACTTCTGCCTGCCAGGTATTACTTATTGTTACTATTAAATGAATGGTAACTTTCCGTTTCGTATTTTAATTTTTGCTTACAGCAATTTCGAGATCGTCGACTTCGTAATTTATATAATTTATAACAAAAAGAAATATAATAATGCAAATTTTATAAGGTGTGAAATAAAGCGATATTACACTTACTAAGAAAAAATTATTGTTGTAAAAATTTTAACAAGTTTCGAAAATCGAAATGACATTTTTTTTATCGTAGCTTTTTTATAATTCTCTTCATATTCTACATTTCAATGGTTGAATATGGAAGTAAAGCGTAGTATGAGTTATTAATGGTGACAACATATTGAAACCAATGACGCAGTAATTAATATTTTTTTCCTCAAATTTTCTTGGGACATTAATTATTTCGAGATTAATCTGATAGAGTTAATGTAAATGAAGAATATTATTATTATTGTGGTGACTGTAATATAACAATTTCAAGCAAGAAGAAACATGGTAAGGATAACAAGTTTCGAGTAACGGAAAAATCGCGAAAATAATGTTGAAATTTATATATAATAATAAATTATACGCTATTATAATTTTTCATTATATAAGTCACGTGATAAATCTTACTATAAAAAATCCTTGAATTTTGGAAAACTGAGGCGATAATTATCTTGCCCGGCCTTATCAAATAAGGGTATTTTTGAGCAAAATTTCTACTTGGATATTGTCATGTAAAACGGAATCTTTTTAAATACAATTTTAATTAACTCGTTACTTTTAAAATTACTGCAGAAGTAGTCCATTGTACCTTTGCTGAACTTTTACGGTTTTCCAGCGACAATTATTTAAAAGAATTTATTGAAGCGATTGAAAATTTTAATATATATTAATGACATTGAGTCACTCTCCAAATTTGTAGAAAAAAGACCAATGCTATGAAAATTTTCTTAGACGTAAAGTAAAATGCGTCGAATTTCTCTTTCTCAAAACTTTCGGACCTGTAGAATATAATAGAAGTTAGAAAGCTAAGATTGAAAACCACTGATGTCAACAATAAGCGTTAAAAATTTATGTTGATTTCTCGAGTGAAAAGAGACAAACTACTCGAAGAAAACTATCACGTGTAAACACTTCTAAGAGGATGGATGAGCAAACTAGGGAGCGTCCAAGTCTAAGCCATCGCTCTAAATTTAATACAGAGGATGCCACCAGAAATGGAAGAGTTCAGCCTGCGCAGTTCCATCGATATGCCAATGATATTGTAATCTAAGTATTAGAATGAGCAAGGAATTTGTGAGTCAGTTCTTAAGAGTCACTGTATTATAGGAACGACCTCATAAAGATGATTTCTTATTAACACGTTATAGCACTGGATTAATGCTTGTCTATAGAAATGAACATCACGGGAATTCGAACCCGTAGGTCAAGCAATATTTCGCGAATATTGTTTAACTCGTAACCGTAATGGAAAACCACTAATAATGCAAATCTTGTCAAAAGTGTGAGAGCGCGTTCGAAAAGTTTAGCAGAAATAGAAACGTTGTCGTTTGAAATTTGAACACGATTTTAGGCAGACAAATGTAAAATTGATGGAAATAAATATGTTTCTTTTATAAAAAAAGAAAATAAGATGATGTAATTTTTTTTTAATAACTATTAAATTTCGAATTTTTCATTTCTTATTGTTGTTATAGACACATGAATTTTTATTACGTAATGTGCAAGTTAATTCTTTCACATTATGATGACGATGATGACGAAACATTAAAATTTTTATGACAATATTATCAAAAAGATCCTGATAAAAGATCTTGTTTGTACAATAATATTAAAAAAAATTTCATATGGTTGTTCTCTATACACTCATGATCCGTAAAGCAAACCGTCCATAAGCATGTCACAGTGTGACATCAATTAAATATCCACAAAATTCTATTAGGAGAAAGAAATATATTATGAAAGGGCCTTCTTTGGTAGAGATTGGAATCATAACGAACCACTAAAAAATTTTTTTGACTAACTATAGTCTATTATTAATGATCGAAGAAAAATTTACTGTACCTTGAAGCAAAATTTTCAAAATAACTAAAGTTTCTTACTTCGATTTGTTGTCAAGAATAAAATTCCTTGATGATATTCGAGTAGCCTTAAGAATGTACTAACTAGAGCATTTCGTCAATGTCATGTTTACTTCGACATTCAAAAAATATATCTGCTTCAGAAGATATTTTGGTAATTAACAAATACGAACACCAAATAAAATCCTGACATTCATCAATTTAAATGATGGCATTTCAAACAATTTTCCACCTCAAGAACTCTATTCATTTTAGCTTCTAAATCATATACTTTGTTCCTAACTCTCCAACACTAACAGCATATATGGTCGATGAAGAAACTCAGAAATTACTACTGCAGTTAATGTTTTCCAACTATTGAAGATTATTAATTAGTGTCATGGAGCTAAATTGGCAGACTGAAGTTAAAGTCATTTTCTCCAGAGGTCCATGTAATAAAAAGACGCATCCACTCTATATTTGACGTAACAAGGCTGAAAATTAGTTTTTTTTTGGTTGGATTCATGACTTGTTGATATCGTCATAAAATAATATCAGAAGAATTTAAGGATGCAATTCCAATATAACAAAATAAAATAGTTGATATTTTTAAATGATGCGGATCGATTGCGTATTTCACGATTTTTCTTTCTTGTATTACTAGCTCGTCGTGAATTGGACTCTATTTTGGTAATAGAACAACACCTTCCCAATTGTTAATAACAAATCATCTTGCTGAGATACCATCTACAAATTGAGACGTAACGTTTTTAAATAAAATTGTAATATATAAATATGAATATAATTATGCAGACCTGAATCGATTATTTTGCACTTAATAGCCATAAAAAAATTATGGCATACTGCGCGTTCATGATGACCTTAAGCATAGAATGACAGTTATGGAAAGTGACTGACCCAAATGACCTCAGATGACTCAAATGACTGGTCATGTGTCCTTTGGGTCATTTCAAAATTAAATAACAAATGATCTGGCCAAAATAATTATGTTGTCATTATGTTTAGAACGTTTTCATAAATATTTCAAGTTATATTAATTTGTAATTCTGGCCAGCATATAAAATTTGGCCTGTATTACATTTAAATGACCAAATGACAAATGACCTCTAATGACCAGGTCATTCGAAGGTCATTCAGAGGTCATTTCAAAATCGCCAAATGACCTGGTCATTTTCCATCACTGACTTACGCGACACATCACGAAATAATAGTTACCAAGAAACGTTTCGTTATCTAAATTTCTTTTTATTAAATTATTAATATAATCTGGTTAATTTTTACTGTGATATTCATTTTTAATGTCTATTGAGTTTTTGACAATTCATTAAATAAATAAATATTTCTTTTTACCGGGTTTAAAATTTAAATGATTAGTCACTTTTACTCAAGGAACAATGCAAATGATGTGGTGACGTATGTAAATTCCAAGACTAGCTGATAATTATTTAAAGATCCAATTCTGAAAGAATATGATAGCAGAGTAAAAGATGAAAATGAGAGGTTGAGATAATAAAAATTAATAAAGTTTATAAAATAAAAGGAAAACCATTGACACGTTTAATCGAGTTCCTTCGACCATCATTGAATCACAACTGATTGGTCTTGCAGTAAAACCATTATCAAGGAATTGCGAGAAATTACATGCATTATGAAGATATTTTGAAACGTAATATGAAGTACGTAGAATGAAAATTTTATATGCACGGAAGCGGTAAATTGTGTTTTCTAAAGGTCGTTTATTCAGTTTTAAATAATTATTTTCTTATCGAATAACTTAAAGGTACTCAAAGTAAAGTACTTTATAATAAAGTTACTTACAAATAACAAATTCATGGTCGATTACGATCTCTTTTACTTAGAAAATAAATTTTTTTATTTCTGTTAGATGAGAAATTATTCTCATCTTGGGAAGGATCGACAAAATACATACAGCCAATTGATCAGCCAATCAAAAATCTTCTAATTGTTTATAAAATAAGCACACCTCGAGCGAATTTACATATTTTTTTTTCTCACTTTCACTTCTGAGGTAACATAAATACCGTGTGTTAACCATCCATTCTTTTGAATAATAAAGTGCGTGTTTCTCAAAATAAGTTAAAATTCATAAGGAATACGAGATTTTTTTTTTTTTGTTTACTAACGCGTTTAACTTTAACTATACAACACTCTTCGTCGCGGATTAAACAATGGAATCTTGTAGTGATATTCTAATAGATAAATGTATAATACATTATATAAATATTTACATGGATTGGTTTGCTTTTTTTTTTAGCGGTTTATTTTATTTTTATTTTATTTTGTTAACTTACTAATACGTTAAAATTTGACTGGATAACACTCTTGGTCGCGGACTAAACAATGAAATTATGGAGTGGTGTTGAAAATTTATAATAGATAGTATAGTACATTATACATGGATTGGGTTGCTTTTTTAGTTTGTTGATTTTTTATGTTGACTTCACTAACGCGATTAACTTGACTGGACAACACTCTTGGTCGCGAATAAACATTGGAATTTTGGAGTGTTTTTGAAGATTTTTAAAATATATATATATAAGAATTTATATGGATGGGTTTGCTTTTTTTTAGTTTTTTTTGATTTTTTTTTATTATGAATACTTTATTAACGCGTTTAACTTTGACTGGACTGGACAACACTCCTGGGCGCGGAACGAACATTGGAATTATAGAGTGATTATTAAGATTTTATAATAGATAGTATAATTCATTACATAAATATATAAATTGGATTGACGCGTTAATTTTAACTGGACAACACGAAAATAAATAATGGAATTATGGAGTTATTTTTGAAGTTTTATAATTGATAGTATAGTACATTATATAAATATTTACATGGATTGGGTATACTTCTTTTTAGTGTTATTTTTGATTTTTTTTTGTATTGATTTTACTAACGTGTTTAACTTAACTGGACAACACTCCTGGTCGCGGAATAAACATTGGAATTTTGGAGTGTTTTTGAAGATTTTTTAAAATATATATATATATATGCGAATTTATATGGATTGGGTTTGCTTTTTAGTTTTTTTTTGAATTTTTTTATTATGTATACTTTATTAACGCGTTTAACTTTGACTGGGCTGGACAACACTCTTGGTCGCGGAATAAAACAATGGAATTATTAAGATTTTATATAGATAGTATAATACATTATAAAATATATAAATTGGATTGACGCGTTAATTTTGACTGGACAGCGCGAAAATAAACAATTGAATTATGGAGTTATTTTTGAAGTTTTATAATTGATCGTATAGTACATTATATAAATATTTACATGGATTGGGTTTGCTTTTTTTAGTTTTCTTGATTTTTTTATTATGAATACTTTATTAACACGTTTTAATTAACCGGATAACACTCATGGTCGCGGAATAAGCAATGGAATTATAGAGTGATGTTTAAGAATATATTATAGATAGTATAGTAATATATGCATGAATTGGGTTTGCATATTTTTATTTTAATTTTCAAATTTTTTATGTCAACTTCACTAACGCGTTTAACTTAACTGGACAACACTCATGGTCGCAAAATAAACAATGGAATTATGGAGTGATTTTTGAAGATTTATAATAGTAGTATAGTATAGTACATTATATAAATTTACATGGATTGGTTTAGTGTTATTTGTTGATTATTTTATGTTTACTGAACAAAACTCTTGATAACTTTGACCGGACAACACACTTGATTGCGGAATAATTTAATTATACTAGAATATTTAATTTATACTTCAATTATCTAATATAATAATTTTCTTTTGCTTTTATAGGGTCCTGATCAATATTGCTGCACCTCAACGTGGTGATCAGGTGACAACGAGTCTTTAACAGACTTGGCTAAGACAGCAATGAATTACAATTTTTATCACTAAAAGGCATGTTTCATTGTATTTAGATATATTGTAACAATTAATTTAAAAAAGAACATAATAAAATATAATAAAAGAAGTGTTTGTAAAATAAAAAACTACAGGGATAAAAGAAATGAATAAGTTTTATAACCACATAATTCGCCTTGATCTTGTGAAAGGTCATTACCATTGGTGATGGTGGATGTATTCATGTTCGTGATCATAGACGGAATGAGATTCCCTTTTACTAATGATTCCTGGATGTTAAACCATCTGGATTAAGCTATCCCGCCCTCCCTTAATGTACACCTCTATAGGACAGTTACTACTCGATTACCACATTTAGTAATGGTACGTTAATATTACGATTTATAAATATTAAAGTTATATTCTCAGCTTGTAATTCCGTAGGTGTTTTATACTTGCATTATTCACACGCCACATACACTCATTGTTCTTAG